TGTGAAAGTGATCTTACAAAGACGTGTAGTCTTCACTAAACAATGTTAGTGATTCATTATTATTGAATGATAAATTGAGATAAAATTACATATGAATTTATTATTAATAATAATGTGATAAAACGTACCGTGGCCTTATTCTTTAAAATTTGGTGCATGAATGATGTATTTTCCACATAATACATTTCAAATATTCGAGAGAAGATTGTTTCTTTAATTAATTTCCTATAAGCTTCTTCACATGTTCTTGGATGTTTCATTTGTTTCCATCCCATGGGGCTGCACAAAATCTTCAAACGCCACGTTCCTTAATTCTTAACTACTTCTTACGTGAGAATGAAGCATTCATGCATACTTCTCTTTAATTTCTTCCCGCCAAGTGTAATCGTTATCATAACTTTGAACTTTATAGATTCAAATTCTTTAACTATATTTTATTTGATTTTATAGGTTCGAAATTTGTTATATGTACTTATCTAGCTAAATTTTTTGAGTACATATACTTATTTTGGTTAAAATTATTGAATTATGATGTATCTATATAGCTTCTAAGCTAAGTCCGATTACACGATAAAATCTGAAGGACAAGTTTCCTAAATTAAATTAGACCATGTTTGTTTTAACTCTTAGGGGTTGTTTGGTTTGAATACAAGTTATGCTAGGATTGGTTATGCTAGGATAGGTTATATTGGATAAATTATGCTGAGATTAGTTATGTTGAGATTAGTTTCTATTGCTTGTTTGGTTTGTCATATTCAAACTTATATTCATTGCATAATTTTTAAGAATAAGTTGTTGTTTATAAAAATACCCTCTACCTTATTTAGTTTTTTTTTTCTCTGCAAGCTTTAGTTATTCATTCTTAAAAATAAAATTTTCATCTTATTTAGGTTAAATATTTTTGTGTGTGCATTTCTATGATTGTGCCATGTGTTTTAAACTTAAATTTTCATCTTAATTAACTTTTAAAAAAAATTCATGTTATTTAGCTTAAAAATAAAATTTCCATCTTATTTAGCTTGAAAATAAAATTTTCATCTTATTTAGTTTGAAAATAAAATTTTCATTTTAAGTTTATTAAAGTAAAAGAAATTTTATTATTAAAGTTATCTACATTTTAATTGATATATAAAATATAATTTTTAAGTGAGTAATAAACTAGTTAATTAAAAATATGTGATTTAGTAGTGGAGTAACATTTTAAGAAAAATCAAAATATAAATAAACATAAGAATTAGACAAATAAATTTAACTTGTAATATATTCATAATAAAAATTGTATTATAAAATGTAATTTTTTTAATAAAAAAATATATTATCATAAAAACAACAACTAATTAAGGTTGTGAATGTTGTTATAAATATTGTTAAAAATTATGTTAATTTACATAAATTTAAAAATGGTGTATAAAAGAGAGTTTAAGGGGATATTTTTGTTATTTCACATATTTTTCCCAAGATAAGTTATCATGGGATTACTATTTCACCCCAGTAAGGGGGACAACTTATCTCATGACTAATTGTTAATTCTGGGATAAATTATCCAACATTTGTAACCAAACAACGGATTAAAAATCATTTAAAAATTATCTCAAAATTAATTCCTCTTATCCATCACACCAAACGACCCGTTAGATCTCTTAATGTAAATACTAATTCAAACCTAAGTAAATTAAGTACTACATTTTTTTTTTCAAAATCACTTTTTTGTTTTGTATTTATTTAGGTGATTTGGTTCATTTTTTTTCTCAATGACTCCTGCGAATAAAACTTTTTTGTTTTTACTACAATATTCTTTTCTCCCACCGTACAACAATTATTGCCAGCCACCACCCTGACGAAATAAAACTAGCAGCCTGTATTATTTTGTTTGGTAGGGATGTAAATGTTTTCCACAAATAATATTTTTTCAGAAAGTATTTTTCAAAAAATAAATAACTTTATTTTTCATATTCTTTTTATATTTGATAAGTAAATAATAGTTATATATAATTTAAGCAAATATTATAATGACGGAGGAGGGAGTGGACCGAGTGAGAGGCATATGAGCGATGGGAGCTATGGTGGTAGACGACTTATGAAACGTGATTTTTCTATTTTTACTGAGAAAGTCATTTTTTGATTTATTTTCCAAATATTTTGGTCAATAAACATGAAAAATAAAAATAAAAATAAAAATACCCTTGATAAACAAAATTATGATTATTGAGAACATTCTACTACTTTTCTGTCAGAATATTAGTCGATGTCTTTTAAATAAAAATAAAAATAGGCATATTATATGATGCTTGAGTTAATAGGGGGCTAAAAATTTAGAATAAGCAGCACAAAGCGCACACAAACACATGGCTTGTTGTGATTGGCCAGCATAACCAGCTCACACTCCTTCGACTTCGAAATAATTCTACTTTCAATTTCTTGTCGGTCATAAAAATAGTTTTACTTTTCTTTAAAGAATTTTCTTTGTCCCCCAGTTTGTATGGTATTATTAGAACAAAATCAATAAAAAATAATAATTTGAATGCTAATTTAGGGATTAAAGAATACGGATTTGGCACTATACATTTTTTCACGTCTTCATTAAGTTTATGAAAACATAAATCATCAAATAACAAACTCAGATGCAACAAATAATATTTTTCATCTGGTGTTCGGTATTGTCCTACGATAAAAAAAAGATTTAGCGACAATAAATATACACATTAAAAAAGAGCGTTAAATTTTTTACCGGCATTAGTTAATTGTCATTGATCCAATAACGTTATAGGCTTTAGGGACACTTACAAAAAGTGTTAATTACAACTAAAAAAACATATTTAACGGCAATTAAGCTATTGCCATTATTTAAGTGTTTCTAAAAATTATTTTTGATGTAATGACACTAGAGCACAAATACATCTGAATTTGCTCTGCTTAGGATCCATTCAAGGAGAAACGCTTCATATTAATGAAAATTTCATACTTCGGGCTCAAAAGTCAAACTTGAAACTTCCAGTTAAAAAAGGAATAACCCATCTTCTGCTACCAATGGTACAACAATCACATTTCAACTAACGTCATTTTGATTTTAGACAGAATGATTTAACAAAATTTCACTTGACAAATATATTCAAAAATGATATTTTCTCTTCAAACGAAATTTTCAATCTTAACTTACAATTGTACCCTATATTATTATTTATATATAGTCAAAGTAAACATTCGGAAAAATTTCCTAGCAAAACTCCATCATATAAAATAAGAAAAGAGAGAGTATTATTATTGAATTTCATATGATATAAAAGGAGTTGTGTGACTTTTGTTTTACTCTTGTAATACTAGTATACACGTTTCATCTTCTTAGTTTATACTTTCAAAATTACGCTCTTTGTAATAGTGTCAAGTCATACCAAGATGGAGTAGTTGACATAAGTTTCTAATCAAAAGATTATTTTATGGCTTAATTACTAACGTTTGTTTTACTCCATTTATGCTTATTGAATCCAAGTATAAGAATTTATTTAGTAAAACAGTCATTAATTATTATTGTTTTGTATAAATAAAATTATTTAATTTTAAATTTTCTCTTATAAAATTAATCAACCAATAATACACACACATACATGCACGCAACTAAATATGTATATATTACTATACATATACTTAATAAATGTAATACTGAAATAAAAATCATAAAATAGTAGCGTTAGATTTTGCAACAAATTCCGAACAAGATTATTCTACTTATAATGATAACGAATTTACAAAAAATCTATGATAAAAGGTATTACATAGATGGCGAGCGAAAATGCTATAAGTAATACAAACATTTCATAGGATAAAAGGAGAGGGGTCGGAGGTCGGGACAGAATTTCTATTATTCAAAGTTGAGGGGTGAATTTGATTTATAAAGTATTGTTGGATGGTGGGGTAGTGTAAAATGATTTCTAATCACTAGTTTGAGCTTTTCAAATTTATACTCACGTCATTCACTTTTATTTATCTACTATTTTTAAAATAAATTTCCAATTAAAAAAAAAGGTACCATTGTGGATATATAAAAATGTGCAGGGGAGTAATTTCTGTTTTGATCGGTAGTATGAGATAATACATAACAACCATTCAAAGAAAGTGTTAATATTAAGGGAGAAGTCGGACAAAATTAATTACTCTTAATTTTATAAAATATAATGACAAATATTTTTAATAACCTTGATAACTCGTATAGAATGAGGGAGTATAATTGTTCGAATAATATAGACTATAGTAAATATATTTTTCTAATAATTCTTCAATAAATATGACAAAATATACTGAATTAGGCAGCAAATTTGATCTCCCAACCAGCTGTGGAATTCTCCAAAAGTCAGATGCTAAAATAAAAGGTCGAAAAATGCAATGAAGTTTAACAGATACACATAGTTTTAGAATTAAGCAAATTGAATATTAATTTGACCACATGAAATTTCCATTTCATAACTAACAAACTTCCCATAACAACGATACTAGTACTATAATACAATAAAATTTAGCCAAGGAGGCAATGGTCAACCAAATCTTAAAATATACTATATGTTGGAGTACTTATTAATCTCTAATTATACATTTAGTAAAATTTAATAAGTTTTAAGTTATAAAAATCTCTCATATAACAAACTTTTATATCATCAGTTCACTTTTATCTGTTATATCAAGTAACCTATTCTTATATTCAAATTTCACATTATTTATAAGATAATCTGACTATATAAATATTTTGTACACTAACTGTATATAACCTAATTATCTTACTTGTAGTCTATATTGCTCAAACTCTTAAAAAATATTAGCAGATTTGTATCAGATTCTTCAAAAATAGTGTAATTTTAAAGAACCTAACACATGTACAACATCAAAAGTGAATAATATTGTTTCCTTGTTAGAATTAGTCTAATCACGTGCCATTCATTTCACATCTCATGCAAACTCCTATAAATACCACCTTAAACCATCACTTCCAAACCATCCCATCTTGAGAAATATTTACACACTTCCAATTTCCCTACTTTGATTACTCAAGCTAGATATGGCTATTATCCGTTCGAAAATCGGAATAATTGGTGGTGGAATAAGTGGCATAGCAGCCGCTAAACAACTAGCCAAGTACGATCCAATCGTGTTCGAGGCAACGGACTGTATAGGAGGGGTGTGGAAACACTGTTCTTATAGGTCCACTAAATTGCAAACCCCTCGATGTGATTATGAGTTCTCTGATTTTCCATGGACTCAAAGGGATAATACCAATTTCCCTACTTATGAGGAAATATTAGACTACTTATACTCTTATGCTAAACATTTTGATGTCTTGAAATTCTTCAACTTCAACTCTAAGGTTGTGGAAATTAAGTTCGTAGGTGATCGAGAAATGAATTATTTTGGTGAATATGGAAGTTTGTTGACTGGCAATCCTGTCTGGGAAGTTGCTGTTCGTAACAATCAATCTCAAACCATACAGGTTCTTCTTTCTTTCTGTCTCAATTTATGTGAAACAATTCAAATTTTGAGATTCTTAACTTTCTGACGTTTTATGTTTTATTTGTATCAGTGGTATGCGTTTGATTTTGTGGTGATGTGCACGGGTAAATATGGAGATATCCCAAATATACCAAATTTTCCAGAAAAAAAAGGGCCACAAGTGTTCAATGGTCAAGTTCTTCATACCCTTGATTACTCTAAACTTGACCAAGAAGCATCTACTAAACTTATGAAAGGGAAGAAAGTTGTTGTTGTTGGCTATAAAAAATCAGCTATTGATCTTGCTGTTGAATGTGCTGAAGCTAATCAAGGTAATTAATTAATACTTTATGTAATTCCTTAATTATTTATAAGTCAAAAGTATATGATCCTTATTAATTAACCTAGTGTATTGAATTTTAAATATCTTCAAGTAATAGTACTATGTGTTTAACAATTTATGATAATCTAAAATGAGATTGTCACACGTCAGGAAGGCAATTGGAATTAATGTATTATATTTAAAAAGACTTGGTAATTTCACTTTTTATTTTATTTTAAATATTAACGAATTCATAATAGACTCTTTTTCAACTCTATATATTCAAGCCAATTTGGATACGAAGGGACTTGTTTATATTTTTCTCAAATAGTATATCAGAAAATTACAAATATCGATCGATAGTGTTCTTTTACGTGTCAACGTGTTTCTTATTCGATATAAAATGGCTTCTCATCTATTGATTGTTTGTTTGTGTGGTTTCTAATAGTAATTAAAAGTGTGGTTGTCGTAACAAATTGAATAGTTGCTCCACTTCAACTAGAGATTGTTACAACAAAATATAAATTTCCAAAAACAGGCAACGAAAGGACGTTCCATAAAAGGAAAATAATAAATTGTGGTTGTTGACATCAGTACTACTAATCTTTTAGAAAATTGCAAGTGCATATATTGATTTATCAACTCCAAACATACATCATGATGGTCCACGTAAGCCTCAACTTTACAATTATATTTATTTTTTCTAAGAAAATGTCACCAAACAAGGGACCAAAATAAGGAAAAAAAGAAGCTTGAATTTTTTCTAAAATGTCAAAAACACCTTTTTGATTTTTCAAGTCTCATGCTTTGACCTCAGGACAACATCACAGGTATAATTTCTTTCAAAGCCATACGAATTAAATATAGAATTTTCACAGTAGAATTGAAAACCATCCGAGTTAAAAATTTATTGAATTCTGGATCATAATTTGATAAATTTTCAATACAAATATATAATTTGAGTCAAAACTATCGAACGCAATTCACTATATTAATTTGTTTGTAACAACTACTTGTAGGACCTGAAGGGCAACCCTGTACAATGGTTGTAAGGACTTTGCATTGGACAGTTCCACACTACTCTATTTGGGGTTTGCCATTTTACTTGTTCTATTCAACTAGATCTTCTCAGTTTCTCCATGAAAGACCAAATCAAGGCTTGTTTAGGACCTTTCTTTGCCACATGCTTTCTCCCATGGTGAGCTCCATTCGTTTTTTCTTTCTCAATCTAGCTAGTGCATCATTTGGCTTAGGACTAACAAAAACGCGCTTATATATGGTGACAGAGAAGAGCAGCTTCTAAATTAATCGAGTCGTATTTGGAATGGAAACTTCCACTAGAAAAGTATGGACTGAAGCCAGAACACCCTTTTGAGGAAGATTATGCATCATGTCAGATGGCTATCTTGCCTGAGAATTTCTTCACTGAGGCTGATAAGGGTAAAATCATGTTCAAAAGAACATCAAAGTGGTGGTTCTGGGAAGGAGGAGTTGAATTCGAGGACAACACCAAGTTGGAAGCTGATGTTGTCATACTTGCAACTGGTTTTGATGGGAAGAAAAAGATCAAAGCTATATTACCTGATCCCTTTCGCAGTCTGGTAGAGTTACCCTCAGGCATGATACCCTTGTACAGGGGTACAATCCACCCGTTGATTCCAAATATGGCTTTCGTGGGCTACCTTGAAAGTGTTTCAAACCTGCATTCAGCTGAGATACGTTGCATATGGCTATCACGACTTGTTGATGATCTGTTTAAGCTTCCATCTGTTGAGAAAATGCTTGAACAGATAACACAAGAGATGGAGATCATGAAGAGGACGACAAGATTCTACAAGAGAAATTGCATCTCCACTTTCAGTATTAACCATAGCGATGAAATCTGCCAAGAGATGGGATGGCGATTTTGGAGGAAGACGAACTGGTTGGCTGAAGCCTTTACCCCCTACAACAGCCAAGATTATGCAGAGGAGAAGTAGCTTCATTCAGTAACATTTGAAAGTTTCCTACTTAATTAGCCTATTATTTCTTGTATACCTACTGCTTATGCAGCGCATATTTATCTACTCATTATAAGGAATAAACATCACATGTATGAAAGGTCAAGCAAGGTCTATTTTTATCAGTAAAAGTAAGGAATAAAGATTAATATTTCAAGATCATCACGAGTGACTCCATTCTCATTTGCAATTTACTATATGATCCACCACTGTCGGGGCTTCAACAATTGTAAGAAGTGCCAAGTTCAGGCAATTGAAGAAAATTCTCCATTATGCAGTTACTACAACCAGAGCAAAGGCTCATATACAAATTTATCTCTCACGGGAGACCTGACTTCAACATTCTACAGCATCAATTGTAGCATGACTTTAAACTATCCTTTGACAGCCTATTAAATATAACTGGTTGTACAGCCTATCATATAACATACAATTGGCACACATTAGTGGCAGAAAAAGTACAAGAAGTTTATTGGCTAGAGGCAGGAAAAGAATGTAGAAGGGGAAACCTTGACGTTTAAAGACTTTGAAGTAACTTCAATGTCTCATCGATATGCTTTTCAGGTTGGAACTGATTATTATATATGAGTTGAACCACTCCATTCTTGTCAAGCACATAAGTCTGTCTACCTGGCAATGTACCAAATAGGTCTCCCGGGATTCCCCACTCTTTCCTAACTTTGTTGCCTTCATCACACAACAAGGTAAATGGGAGTCTGTACTTCTTTGCAAAGGCCTGCAGAATAAAACATGTCAGTTATCCTCAAAAGAGTCAACAACACTACGCATCCTAAATCTAGAGAACTTTAATGAAAGGTGACGGCAATATCTAATAAAGAAGTTCAGAATACAGGATAACTAGGAGTATATCCTTGACATGAGAAGAAACGAAACACAATCACAAATTCAGACATTTAGTAGTGACTGTACTTTGTAAGAAATCCCAACAAATGCTCCTTGAAAGATTGTTACCATGTTTAATCACCCAAAGGATCCTCATAACTTAAAATGGACAGTTAGACTATTACTTTTCCTTTGTTTTTTCCTTTTTCATCAGGCAATGCATACGTTTTGCCAGAGTTCCCTAATAACATTGTATCTCAGCTCTGTGACACTAAACCCTCAGATAGTTTACTAGTTGTCTACAACTATAGCATACCTAGTATAGTCCCACAAGTGGAGTCTGGGGAGAGTAGATTATATGCAGACCTTACCTCTACCTGAGGTTGTCTCCGAAAGACCATCTGCTCAAAGAAACTATAAAGTTACTTCTAGTTATTCGTATATGTAATACTCTGTGGAACAGAATAGGTATTCAAATAGTCAATTCGTCCTACATAAGGACACGAAGGAAGAGCAAGAACAATGTAATTTGGTTTAGGAGAACTAGCACTCTCCAGTTAACCTGCAATAGAAATAAAGTTCCAGACAACAGAATATTTAGCTGTTTAATGCATTGAGCAAGTAAATATTTAATACCTTGTGGGATTCAATATCATCACCACTAATCCCAACAACTTGAGCCCCTGCTTTCTTGAATTTTTCATAAGAGTCCCTGAAGGCACATGCCTGCAGACAGTTTTCACATATTGGTTAGCTCCAAGTAACTTTTGAAGATCATTGCTACAAAGTTGTGAAATCGAAAATAATAGTTCAATGTAATCTATCAACTATTCATGAAGTTGTTGCTGACTTGCTGTAACTCCACAACTTCAATTTTCAACCACTATAAACTAGAAACAAACGAACAAAACTTTTGTTTCAGGATAATAGAAATTTAATCCCAGTCTAAAAAGATATAACACAAGAAGGATGAAGCAATTCTCCAGTGATTTCTGGATGATGTTCAAACAGTAAGTCTATCTTGTTACTTTTAAGAGGACATGCCACCAAAACCGTTAAAAGGAAACTCATTTTCTATGCTAGCCTATAAAGGTGTTTAGGAACATAACACCATTGTTCAAATAGTTCATCAATATCCATGTTTGGTTTCTACTTTAAATCAACATTTCATAACAATGTCCTTTCAAGGGTTGCAATAATTAATTTCTATTAGTAGGTTTGAGACAAGAGACATCTGAGACAGAGGATCTAATGTATTGACAAGCTACAAATAGGTCAGAATTGGAAGGTCATTCAACACAGAACCTTGCAATTCAATTACCTTATCGTTTCTAGTACTAGCCAAGCTTCATATTATCATTAACCATGTACCTAAATTTAATCTACAACTCATTATTTTCAAGAATTAATTCATCAGTCCACTATGAATAAAGCATAAATCTTTTCTGCATGAAAGTGAAATTTCACAGCTAACACGAAACAGAATCACTGGAAAATCAAACTGTCATTGAGCAATCTATACCTGTTTGGTGCAACCAGGAGTTTCATCAGCAGGGTAGAAATAAACCACCACAGGCTTGCCTTTAAACTTGGAGAGACTCACATTTTTTCCATCTTGATCTTTCAATGTGAATGGTGGAGGCGCCGAACCTTTATTCACCTACAAATATCAAAACAAAATTGAATCGACAAGAAAACCCATGAAAACGGAAGAGCTAAGAGGTCAAAAAAATGCAATGCAATTTACCTTCGCAACAATTGAAGTTCTTGAAGAAGATGGGGTTGAAAAAGAAGGTGAATGAAGGACTTTAAGGCCATAAAACTGGGATTGTGATGATCTGGAGACAATGGTGAGGTTTTGGGAGATGGGGTTTTTTGGGGTTTGAGCATACTGGAGCAGAGAAGGAAGAGTGTGTTTTACAGAGACGGATAGAGAAGCCATTTTTTTTCTAATATGTGATAGTGAAGTTTGTATTATTAGCAGATTGTTGGTCTTGTATAGTTTATTTTTTTAGACAGATAAGGAAGAAGGGGAAAGCCAGTGAGTGACTATAGAGTTTGGGTGAAGAAGAGATGGGGTTTTAGACGTGGTGCATTCTTCACCATCTATATGTCGATAAGTATACAATTTGAATCGAAATATAGAAATATATACTGGTAGGATTATCAACTGCTCAAAATAACATATTCACAGTGGCAGCATGACATGTAACGGTGAGAAAGGAAGAGTTAGACCAAAATAATCTATTAGTTGAATCATTTCATCAAAATAATATGAAATTTTACAAAATTAATATAAACATTGTTGCCAATAACGTATTAGGTTATATTTTATTTTAGAATCAAAATATAGTAGAAATACGTTACTGACAGTAACGTTTTAGACTTAAAACATTACCATCAATAATGAGTCTCTGCAATTTTGCCACATGAAAATCTTTGTACCAAATATCGTTATTAGAAAGCACGTTTTAAAGGTAAAACGTACTTAGAGTAACGAGTCTGTTGAATCAAATCACAGGTCTGTCTTCTAAGAATCTTTGTACGAAATTTGATGTTAAAGTCATTATTGTGTGTCACGTTTTAAGACTAAAATGTTACTCTAAGTAACGATTCTATCGAATCATGTCATGAATCTGCGAAATTAATGTAGTCTTGTTGATTTAGTCTATCAATAAAAATGTTAGTATAAGTTACGTTTTAACTTTAAAACGTGACTAACAGTAACAACAAACTGCTAAAGTGTTTCCTCAACAATTGACCACGGATTATTATAAGAAATGATTTGTGTAGAATGTTTAGCACATTCCAACAATTTTCTACAAAGCTTCTGCTTATGTTTCCCATTGTTGAAACAATACACACAAAATTTTAATAGATATGGCTTATCAATAAGTTGAAATGTATTTGTAAAAATATATTTTTAATAATTATAATGCATATCTTATTTTTGTGTAGGATTTTTGATGGCTAATTTAAAGAAAACATGATGATTGCGTTATATTGGGGTGGTGAAATAATCACTGAAATGATCGGATTCATATATAGCAAATGTGCCAGAATGATAGTTAGCATGTTTATTTCGACCAACTACATTGAATTAATTGAATTGTTGCATGAGAAAATGGGGACTAATAGTGAAAATATTCAAATGGATATTTCTGAAAAATATCCATGCTCATTTCAAAGTAACATTACAAGGTTCATTGGGTTCAAAATTGAGAATGACCAATCTTTCCTACAATTTTTTGCCATTCCTCAAATTTTTTTTAATAAGATTGATATAAATCTTTTGGAGATGTATATAAAGACTAGATCATATCAAGATAATCTATTTCAAATGAATGGTCAACATGGTTATCATATGAATTTATTAGCATAAATTTATGGATTTGCCATAATCAGTCCGCCTCATTTTGCATACAGTGCAACACATGGATCCATCAATCATTTAGTGTAGGCCCTAATGAGCATGAATGTCACGCCCCAAGCCTACACCCTAGGTGGGACTGGCACTCAAAAATCATTGCTGGCTCCAAGCGAACCCTTGGTCTGGCTTAACTCATAGCGGAAGACTTAAAGCATTAATACGAGGATTCAAATGCACTTTAAAACAACTGTCTCAAATAAACTTAGAATGTTTAAGGATAAACATTCAAATTAGCCAAAGTGGCAACTCAAGTTTTTTAGCAAAACATCTGAAATACAAGACTGAAGACTCATATCTAACTGTCTATGAAGCCTCTAAATACTAAAAGGAATGTCGGGACAAGACCCCCAATCATCCTAACAACTGAAATACTACAAAACAATGTAAAAGGAGTCCCCCAGAAAGCAAGGAGGCTCACCAAATGACTCTGAATGCTCGAATGGATCAACGAGGGGCTGGATGTTGATCCTGATTACTTGGATCTGCATCATAAAAAGATGCAAGCCAAATGGCATGACATAAGCTTGAAAGGTATCTGAAAAGAACACTTACATTGACTTTACTCAACTCAAATGCAAAGTAAAAACAACAATAATGGTGCAGTTATACAAAGCATTTAAAATAGTAGATGATAACTCAATGTATTAAAGAAATACAATAACAACTCAATTTACTTATAGAGTAATACTGTGGGAGTTTCTCTAATCGACAACCACCACTATGAGCTAAGTGATGATACAACGTCTCACCCACGCTGCTAGAACTGTCATATACCTTGTCGTGATATAGAACGCCTCAACTAAGTGGATCCATTAGTCTATGCTAAAAAGCACTAAGGAATCATCTAAAAAGTATGATCCTTTCTACCCATGATGGCTACATGGTTTATGGAGACTTGAGTTATTATGAACTCATCCCCATATCGATGCTCAATACTACTCCCAAAATATACTCAGCTCATATGTTTTATAAACAAAACTCTTTCTGTGATTTGAGGTAATTACTCAAAACTAACTTAAAAGCTCTCTTGGAAATTAGTGTTTCCCCTCTTGTTTAAATGTGAAAACATTTCAACTCTTCGGAATACATAGTTCCCGTATAATCTTTTGAAGAAATGAACTTTACTCTTACTCTTTACTCAACTCAAAACTCAAGCCTTAAAACAAAGTTAAAACGTTTGTAAAAGACTTTTGGAAAACTCTATAAACTTCTCTTGACTTGACTCTTAACTTTCCTGGAATTGAATTATAGATTCAAGGTTTATGATCTCATGTTAATGAATGATTTCATGATGTTTAGACGTACCTTAGAGTGTAGAAATCGACTAGAAAACATAGGTACGTTGCTAGGGAACTAGTACGGAAAGAAGTGGGAAAAAGTGTAAAAACTGGCGTCCCTGGCACTCTGAGAGGCGCGGGGCGCTAAAGCCCAAAATTCAGAGTCAGGGTTGGGGCGCTCTGAGTGGTGCGGCGCCCCAGAGCCAAAACTTCAGACTCTGAAGTGGGACGCTCTGAGAGGCGCGACGCCCCAATCCCCTGCCCAGAAATTCCCCAATTTTTCTTCATCATTATTCAACTCTAAACCCTTTAAAATCAATTGGTTCTTTCCCCAAACACTTAGAATCGACTATATCATCAATATATGTAAGATTCTACTCGAAAACACACCTAATCTCATGAATCAAACTCAAGAAACTTCAACAACAAGAACCTACATGAACTTAAACGAATTTCATCAAGAACTCATAACCTTTGTTCCTTAAAGAGAACACAATTACGGTGAATTGAATCATGATTGGCACGTGGGTGAACTAACCCAATGCTATGTGATCTTACATATCTCGTAGGATTGAATTCTTGGTGAATCCACAACCAAAATTGCACGATCTTGACGAATCTTGAACTTTTCTTCTCCTTTCTCTTCTGTTCTCTTTTCTCCAAGTCCTAGCGTAAATTTCCAATTGTCTAAACTGAACCAATTCAGTTTAGACCCTAATTTATTTTTTATAAACGAATTAAAATAATTGGGTAAGGAAAAGACCAAACTACCCTTCCAAAATCCGGATTAGACTTTCCTTATCTAAATAGCTCAACTTCAAATGGGTAAATCTCCCTCATACAAACTCAAAATCGCGCAAAATCGGCGCCGCTAAAAAGATAATTCAAAGATCTTTCATATGATATCTTGTAGCACACCTAACTCATCTTTATCTAGGAGTTATGGTCGTTTGAAGTTGACCAAAACTCAAACTTCACTTAACTTAGCCAATTTTCCAGATTTTTCATTCTTTCAAAAAATGACTCTTTCTAGTTCTTTCAATTAGCGAGGTGTTACAATATCTCCACCTTGGAAACATTCGTCCTCGAATGAAATTACTCTTAGTAGGCTAAGGGTGTAACATCTAACATTCAGCTCAAACACCCAACAAGCAAATCTAACACATTAAGCATATCAATTTAAAGAGTACTAAGAAGATAATCAATACCTTGATCTGGAATTTCTCTGGGCTCAAATAGATGTGGATATCTCTTCTTCGTATCCTCCTCAGCTTCCCAAGTAGCTTCCTCAACAAGTTGATTTCTCTAAAGAACTTTGACTGATGCTACTTCCTTGGTCCTTAACTTGCGCACCTGCCGATCTAGAATCTGAACAGGGATCTCCTCATAAGACAAGTTATCATTGATACCAATATATTCAGTTGGTATGATAAGTGAAGGATCTACCATGCATTTCTTCAACATGGAAACATAAAATATCGGATAGACCGCTGCTAACTCTTGTGGTAGCTCCAGCTCATAAGCTACATTGCCAATCCTTTTGGATATTTTGTAAGGGCTAATATATCAGGGACTAAGCTTCCCCTTCTTACCAAATCTCATAACACCCTTCATGAGTGAAACCTTCAAGTATACACAATCATCTACTTCAAACTTTAACATCAGTGTAGGATTTCTGACGACTCTGCGCTGTTTTCAACCCTTCTTAAATGACTTTCACTTTCTCCATAGCTTGGTGAACTAAGTCTGGTCCTATCAACCCAACTTCACCAACTTCAAACCATCCAATAGGAGATCTGCATCTTTTCCTATAAAGAGCTTCATACGGAGCCATCTGGATGCTAGAGTGATAACTATTATTGTAAGTAAATTCAATGAGAGGTAGGTGCTCATCCTAATTACTTTTGAAATCAATCACACCGGCCCTCAACATATCTTTTAAGGTCTGAATGGTGCGCTCTTCTTGACAATCTGTCTGAGGATGAAAAGCAATACTCAAGTTCACTTTTAAACCCAAGCCTTTCTAAAAAGATTTCCAGAACTGTGCAGTAAATTGTGCTCCTCTATCTGAAATAATCGATACCGGAACCCCATTAAGTCTGACCGCCTCTTTAATATACAACCTAGTATAATCTTCTGCTGAATGGGTAGTCTTTACCGGCAATAAGTGGGCTAATTTTGTCATTCTATTAATAATCACTCAAATAGAATCATGCTGCCTGCGAGACCTTGGCAAACCTGTGATGAAATCCATATTGATCATCTCCCACTTCCATTTCGAAAGTTCTATATTCTGAGCCATACCACCGGGCCTTTGGTGCTCTACTTTAACTTGTTGGCAATTTGGACACTTAGAAACAAACTCTGCAATGCCCTTCTTCATACTAATCCACCAATAAACTTCTCTCAAATCGCG